TGAAAGCGCATTCAGGGTGCATAGTCGCAACTGTACTCCGATGTCTCCAGACACTGTCTTTGAAAAACCATCATCAGCACAATTCGAAGCATAGAAGGTAAACGGCCGTACAGCAGCCTCAGCAAACAGTCTGCCAGCCTCCGCTTCTAAGGCGCCAAGTGCAGGCAGATCGTGGTGGGAACCGAGAGCCATCCAAGCCCACTCCGCAAGCTCATGCTTGACAAGACGACTCGGCCAAGACGGTCTGTTAACAATCTCGTCTGGTTCCGGGCACCGTCCCGCATACTTAGCCAGAATGTCCGCAAGTTCATTGCCTGCAAAGCCAGAGTGTGAGGGAATATGCCTCCCAATCAAAGTACAGACAGACTGTGCACATTGCCGGAGTATAGCCACACTGCGGGACAAACAAGTTGGCCGCGAGGTCGCTGTAGCAGAAGGAAGTTTGAAACCTCCAAAGCCGCCATGTCCCGCCGTCGTACAATCAAAGTGGAACACAAAAGTAGCTGCCTGGAAAGCACAAGAAGCCTCCATGGTCCAGCATAACGCCCACGCCAGAGCAAGCTGTTCCCCAGTCAAAGCATCATCCTGAACCTCTCCAAGATGAAATATAGACTGCTCACTGGCAGTGACACCAAATGCATGCCCAAGGTATGCTTGTTTTGTAGCCGTAACAGCCCATACATTGAAAGCCCATGAGGCAGGTGTGCAATGACCATTAGCCATCTGGCAAGCAGAGCCGTCAGTGTAAATGTGAATCGCATCAGGCATGAAAACATCGTCATACCATGAACCATAAACAGACAGCCATTCCCAAATGACCGGACAAGATTTACACTCAGAATAAACTGCATGAAGATCACAGTCTAGCCAGTCCTGCCAGGAAAACAGGTCACACCCGCATCTGTCAGGCAAAAGGCCTTGTAGGTCCTTGACTGTGGCCTGAAAAACTGTGCAGGGAATGGCCGCATCCAGAGAAATGATAGGAGGAGCCGCCTGTGACGCCGGGGTTCGTGGCGCAGGAGAGGTCCAGGCTGACTCCAGAAAATCAGAGGCGAACTGACAGACAACACTGTGCCCTTCATCCTTGGCCTCTTCCAGCAAAGTAACGAGCCTCCCAACATGAAGGGTCCCCTGGGCATCACCATCTGAAGGAATTGTCCATGCTGACGCACCAGTAGGGTCCGAGAGGGTCAGGTCACAAGCAAGGCCAGGCCATCCGAAATCGCAATCCTGTATAGGACAATTTTCGACCCCGACAACTGCTTGCAAGCGCATGATCTGCGCGAAGAAAACCAATCCAGTGACCCAGAACTTTCTGCAGAGGGTGGCAGAGCCGGGCTTGAATGCGCTAAGGCTCGTCCTAGCCTGAGGCGAGCAGCGACAGGTCTTGCGGACAGCAAACTCGACAGAGGTGTCCCCATGCTGGCCTTGAACAAAGGCGTCACGAGAAAAAGCTCGGTTCCACTTATCAAGCGGCTGCATACCTTGAATAGCGCGTGCAAGCTGACTGGAGATGGCAGAGCCTGGCGGTATAACATCGCCTTGAGGAGCGTGAGGACCAGTCGCATCTGCCGGAGAAGGCGAGACTCGAGTGTCCACAGGACGAACTGCATCTCCAGCGTCCCCATTGCACGGAGTGGCAGCATCTGGACCATGCTCATCATCATCACTGGAGTCGTCACTAGCGTCCTCAGAGCCACTTGACGAATCAGAAGTATACTCGATACCCTCCGCCTCAAGTCTGACACTGAACACACCTCGATGCTCGGCGACAAGGCAGTCCTGCCGACGCCTGCCTCCTTTCAGCCACAAGCGATAGCCCTCTATGGCCTCCACCCGAAGCCTAAAAAGGCCAATGGCTTCCTCGACCGGAATGACTGGATGATGTAGACGGATCGCAGAAAATGTTTGCAGTACTGGCCTCGCATCCACAAACACCACCAATTCATGCTCACCAAGAGGAACATCCAAAAGGTAAACAACGTCGATGAGACAGTGTTGGCAGTACATCGGCCTTTCAAAGGGCACATCCGGCCGAACCAAAGAGGCTTCGTCAGAAGGAATGTTTAGCTCTCTGCAGATTCTTTGCACAAGGGCCGCATCGGACTCACCCTCAACCGCCTCAATAACAAAGTTTTCCAATTCCGAAAGCACCATGAGCCGCTGCGTGCCAAGCGGCTCGTCATATCCATCGGCAAATTCAGTGAGAGACCAAGTCTCGAAGTGATCGAAGGCCCACTGCGTGTCCTGCACGGTATGAGGAGGCGTAGGCTCCGGCACAAGGTGAATCACATCACAGTGATCAATTATCATTCGGGAGGGATAGCCCTCGTAGGCCAAGGGATCAGCACTCTGAGCTGGGACGAATATGTAGTACTCGCAGCCCTCCAACTCAGGCATAAGCCGATGAATGCGAGCATACGAAACGATGCCGTCCTGGATATACGCTTGAAATGGAGGAAAGCCCATGAGCGAAGGGTCTATCACCACCAGCCGGCCTAAGGCACTGTGGATCCAGTCCGGCATCCACTGAGCCTGGAGCTCATCCACCACCGCCGGACCCCGCAAAAAGTGTAAAGCTCCACTGCCACCTGTGCGTGCCACTCCAAGACCAGGCTCCAACAAGTGGAGGCATCGCTGAGCGGTGGCAGTCCTCGTAGTAGTACAACTAACATACTCAGGTTGATGGCCGTAGCCAAAGAGCTTGTAGGCCCTGGTGATAAAGGCAACCTGAGGAGGATTGAGTACCCAGGGAGGTGGATCCGGGTCTTGTGCAACATTCGGATCTTGCAGTAGGCCCAAAGCAGTGTTCTCTTGACCAGTGTGAGAGGGCGGCCTAGGAAAGGTTGTCGGAAAAGCAAAGCTGCTTCTACAATTCGCCGCCCCAGCCGGGCTCACCAAGGCCGATGCCAGCAGCAGGAAAAGAAACAGATCTGTAGAATAACCAGTCATTAGCTTTCGCTTTCGACGGAAATCAGTGGGCAAGCGTTGCAATCGAGGAGAAAAGTTATTCACACTGCAACCCAACTGCCAAGGCGCTGCAGCCACTGTTGCCCTCCCACAGCGCAACAAGTTATCGCAGTTGTTGACTCCACCTTTGAGGGAAAGACCAAAAAGAAGAAGCCTGCAGAGATAACAGAGAAATATTACACACCATGTCCTGCAGACCTCCACTAGTCGGACTCCTGCAATCTCCAGAAGCTCCATGAAAAGGGAGTGAAGTCTCCCAACAAGAAAGGCAAGTAGTGACTCCAAGTCAGTACGCCGCTGCATGAGGCAATGTCCCTCATGTCTCTCTCCGCAGCCAGGAAGTGGTGATGGCATGAAAATGCCCTGGTCCACAAAGGGCATAACAACATCTTCATTATCAGCCGTTCGGGACTCTGTGACCAACAGATGTTCAGTCGCAAAATTTAAACTGCAAGGCCATGATAAAATGGCCAAACAATCATCGGAGAGGTCGAACACAACCGGCAGCAGATTTTGCCGTTGAAGGGTCAAGTCAAACCCAGCCAGTCGAAAGGGACCAACTTCGCCAATGTGATGTAAAGGAGTTGTACTGTGAGCGCCGCACGAAAGCAGGTTCCCAGTAAAAGTTGAAACTTCGTCACCGTACTCCCCAACAGTGAAGAAAAACCATGAAAGGCAATTACGAACTGGAGCTTCCTCACCAGGAACAGATCTCAGTCCAGCCCAAGATCGCGATGTACTCAAAAGGCCATCATACAAACAAGGGGAAAAAACAACAAGGCATTGCAGTAGAAATCTTGGACCAGAGCTGTGCACGATCCAAATACCAAGGTCAGTGCGCCAACTGACAATCCAGAAATCCCCATAGCTGCACCTTCCTTGAAGCCAAAGCGGTTGCCTGACACTTACGGCCAGCTTGCCAATCTGTTCTTCAGGACAAGTGCAATCAAAACCCAAATCCGGCACAGTTGAATCTGTAACAATACACGGCCAAAACAGACCACGAAAGGGCCTGACCGTGTAGCAAAAATATGTAGCAAA